ATTAGTACATATGTTGCCATCATCATTCTCACAACACCTGCTTTCTACTTGAGCCCTTGGTGTCAGCTCCTCATTTTTCCCCCTCCCTCCTTACTCCCCCCTCTCCTAGAACACTTGATAATTTATAAATTATTATGAGACTAACTCTTTAAGGAAGTAGAAAGCCCCATCTTTCTCCCAAGGAGGAATTGGTGGTATCAAACTGCTGACCTTATGGACTGCAACTGAACACAGACCCACTACGCCACCAGGGATCCTCCATGCAGAAGAGTTAGGAAATCTGGCAGGGGATGCTTATCAAAGTAAAGTAAAAAATCAATATCTGGTGAAACTATATCTTAAAATCATATTATAAATTTACACATAATATTATGAATAGTAATCCAACATTATTTCCCCTAGACAAAAAAAATACGAAGAGTTAAATATTTAATAAATCGCCTGGGGAAATGTCTCACTTACTGCATCTATCCCTTAGTATAATTTAACCTAAAAATTGTAAGAGCTCGGTTAAATGGGAAATGTTGGCAGTTCAGGAAGAGGTTATGGCAGCACCATTTTCCAAACTCAATCTTGTGTAGAAACTAACCTCATTAGCTGCTCTACAACTCAATTCCAAAGGTCAGCAATGCTGAAGGCCTATCTCTTCAAAGATCAGATGAACAGAAATGAGAGACAAGTAGTAAAACTCATAAAGAACTTCATAAAGGCCCTACATACACTAATTTTGAAACTATAAAAGAAAGCAAATAACAAAACTACCCTGCAAGTAATCGGTACTATTGATAGGCATACATACATGTGTATACATATAGGAACCTGGTGGCCCAATGGCTAAACACTTGGACACTGACCTAAAGGTCAATGGTTCAAATACACTAGTCACTCCATAGAAGAAAAGACCTAGCATTCTTGTCCAATAATGATTACTCCTTAGGTAATCCAAGAGTAATTTTTACTGTCATATGGGGTAGCTAGGAATCAAAATCACCCCACCAGCACACAACAACAATCAAGCAAAAGTACCTTTTCCTTGCAGAAACTGAGTAACCTCACTTTCCTCTACCTGGACCACAATGCCCTGGAATCTGTACCGCTTAATTTACCAGAAAGTCTACGTGTAATTCATCTTCAGGTATGATTGCTCCTTTCATAATAGAAATCAACTGGGAAACCTGCTCATTCACATGTAAATTTTCATTAGATTGCTATGGTACTGTCATTGATGTTAGCTGCCATGGAGCAACCTTGACTCATGGCAATCACATGTAAAACAGGATTGTATCAGTGGGTTTTCATTGGCTGATTTTGGAAGTAAATCACTATGCCTTTCTTCATAGTCTGTCTTAGAGGCTCTAATACAACACACGACTGATGGATAGTGGCTGAGTAGAATGTGCACTGCCCAGGACTCAAACCTAGGTCTCCTACAAAGAAGGAAAGAATTCCACTCTGAAGCACCATTACCCCCATAGTAATACAATAGCTGAATAAATATAATTAATATTTTTCCAAATGAAATCTCCCATAAAAAAGCTCAATTGTTTAGATTTTCACAAATGATCAGTAATAGCCAAGTGGGAGTTCTGTGCTCTTCCGAGTATGTTCTTTTCTAGTATGCAATTAGTATTTCCTTCTTTTCTTAGTTCAACATACGAATTTGAAGTCAAAAGCACTAAAACCTCTCATTTGTAATTCTTTCACCACTAAACATTTGTTTTTAGGGACTTTTCAGTTGACTTTTAGGCACCAATCTAAGGTTATAAAAAAGTGAATGAAAATATATTAAAATTGGTCCCTCATCACAAGGATTCTATGTTGTTTTAATTTTTTAAAAGAAAATATATGGGAACTATACCCATTTTGAGTTAGAACTCTAAAATAGCATATTATCTTGAACTCTTCTAATTATGGTTAAAATAACAACAACAAAAACAGATAGCACAGAAGGTTTTATTGTTCAATATATATATATATATATATATATATACATGGACAGAATTTTAAAATAACTTTTTAGATTAAATAGTCTATATGATCTTACTACAAATCTTAAAATAAGTTGAATTCAGATTTCTAAATATTTTTCCTTTTATTTTTCAGTTTAACAACATAACTTCAATTACAGATGATACATTCTGTAAAGCTAATGACACTCGTTATATTCGGGATCATATTGAGGAGATACGTCTGGAAGGCAATCCGATCATCTTGGGAAAGTATCCAAATAGTTTTATTTGTTTAAAGAGATTGCCTATAGGATCATATATTTAACCTACCTGTATAGCATATGAGCGGAAATACAAATTATCATTATACATTTCTTAATAATATGTAAAGGAACAGTGCAAAACATATAACAAGTAAAAGTCTGAAGGGAATTATTTCCATTATTAATGAAATGAGAGGATGAATTGAACAAACTTTTGTCTTCTTTCCTCACCTTTTTTGTATTCCTAATGCACTTGAGAGACATTCCAAAATTTTTGAGAATGATCTTATACTTTTCCTTTAAGATTCATATATTACTAAAAATGTGTTTCTTTCTATCAGTAGATATATTATCATATTTGTACTTAGCATGACAAATAGAGTATGTCTCATACCTAGGCAAAACTTTCTAGATAAAACTTGTGCTTTCTAGTAAACTGCTAAAATAGTAATTCTAAACCATTATTCTTTTTACATTCATATAGTGTAAAAATTATTTTTCTAAGTAGGTAATGAAGAATCTTAAAAGGACAACCAAGCTAAAACCAGGATTCTTGTAATTGAAAATCAATCCCATTTCTTAGATACTATGCAAAAAGTCCTCAAGTAAAGGCGTTCCTATATTACAGTGCAAAATGTTCTACAAGAAAATAGCTAACTACCAAACTTAAGATGTGAGAATAAAATTCTTACCACACATCTATATGTATCTAGACATTATTTGTTCACAATATGACTGTGACTAATATTTTTAAATATCTATGGTGAACTAATAATGTTCAATAGTGAGAATTCATCTCCAATATATGGTGATTTATGGTAACACAATTAAAGCTGTCCAATTAAAGTTCCTAAAGTAACATTTCAATTACCCCTTAACCACTGAGTTTTAGTTTTCACACTGCTGCAAAGTACAAAATTTTTAATTCCTAAAAAACATGAATCCAATCTCTATGTATACAAAATTCCTTGCGCTGTTTCCAGGACAAAATATAAACTAGAATCAAGTTGGTCTCTTTATACTAGTCCAAGGACTCATACTTATTCCTGTTTTAAGCACTTGTTTCATGTTTTTCTATACCTAGAATGACCTCATTCATTTTCCAATTTCAAGGTCAAGACCAAATTTAATTGGTTTATTTTCATTAAACCATCTATAATCTTTTATGATAACAAAAGTTACCTCAGCAACACTGATTAATTCTTTTGCTTATTTTATTTTTGTAACCAGTAATCCTGTTTTAATTTTTTTTCATTAATTTTGTGCTTGCCTTATTTCACTGTGATTAAAAGCATGGAACAGGTCTAATATAAAACTTCTATCTCAAAGTACTAGAATAATGGTGAGCATATTTGAACTGAATGTATAATAAATATTAAAAATATATCTAAATAGAAGTGTTTTGCTTCATTTATAAAACTTTAATCTTTAAACAATCACAATCTGAATAAACTATAACTTTATCTGAAAAAAATCTACCTGTACAGAATTGACTGATAGGAAAAGGATTAGGGATTAAATAATTCGATCATGGGTCTAGTTTCAGAAGAATACAGTCATCATTTATTAACTTGCTCTATGGTTCAAAGGCAAGATCACTATTAAAAAAATCATTGTCATATAAGATTGGAAGATGACCACATTAGATACAAAATGGAAAGCTACACTTATATTAAGTGCTAAATTATAGTATTACACTACATATGTGCCAAATTGCTAAGAATCAGGACCCAGCCAAGTTGACATATAACCTTCCCATCCAGCATTACTCTTACCTCACACCTTGTCATTCATTCATAATTACTAGATATTAATGCACAAAATAGATTGGTTTTTTTAACTCTTAGCATAAGAGTAATATGTCAGACAAGATATTTGATAAGTGAGAAATAGGTGTAATGCATTTCTATCTTTTATATATAATTAAAATGTAACAAGTAAAAAAATCCATAAAATACATGTCAAATTATTGAAATTTTAAAAGCCAATGATCCACATTTAACTAGAGGAGAAAGAGCATTAACAAAATAGTCTGAGCTGTAGAACTATCTTAAAAACTTTTAAAAATTTTTTAGCTAAGATATGAAGATGAGTATCTGACATGATACTCCCTTAAATTAAGATTTTTAAAAAAGAGGAAAAGAAAATTCCACAAGATATCTCTAAGAGCCAGAAAGTGTGTGTGTGTGTGTGCATGTGTTGCTGATTCCAACTAATAATGACCTTATAGCACTTCCCCAAAGAGTTCCTTAGGCTGAAATCTTTATGTGCGCACATCTCCAGGTCTTTTCTCTCACAGAGCAGATGTTAGGTTGGAACTGCAGACTTATCAGTTAGCAGCTGGGTGCTTAATCACTGTGTCACCAAGACTCTATGTAAAATGTCCCAACCTCCAAATCACTGCCCTCAAGTCAATTCTGACCCCGAGTGACCCTATAGGACAGACTAGAACTGCCCCTGTGGGTTTCCAAGGCTGCAGGAGTAGAAAGTGGCTGGTGGTTTCAAATGGCTGGCCTTGTTGTTAGCTACAAGGGCTCCAGGGAAATAATGAAAGAACAGAAAAGTAAACAATAAGAAAGGCAAATAAATAATGTTTCATTCTAGACACTAACAATTAGAGAAATAAACTAAAAAAACAAACCTACTCTCATTGAGCTCATTCTATTCAGAGTGACTCTATGTAGAATTCCAGAAACTTGTAAATCTTTACAAGACCAGTCAGCCTCATCTTTCTCTGGCAACAAGCCTAGTGGATTTGAACCACCTATCCTGCAGTAAACAGCCCAATGGATAACCCTCTGGATCACTAGGGTTCCTCAAAGAAATAGTCTGAAACTTAATAGTTTATTTGTTGACCTTCTCATAAGGCACCTAAGGTACACCCAGCCATGGTCAAGGGATAAACAAAACAGAAACATATCCCTATTCTCAGGAAGATTATATATACTACTAAGTAAAAAAGGCAACCAACAGGATCAGTAGGTAAAGGCAAATATAAAGCATATTAAATGATCATAAGCACTTTGGTTGAAAATATTTGTGTGTGGAGGTAGGGGTTTGAACATGTCTGGGGTATGACAGCTCAAAGTAATTCCTCAAAAGAATTTTTAGGTAAAGACCTAAAGGAAATGATGAAGGGAGAATTAAAATTATAGTTAAAATGCACAACAGCCTTCCAAATTCATGAAGGGAGGTGGGAGCTAAGAAAAAATATTGTGGAACCCTGGGAACATGGCACCAGATAGAGTCCTTTGCCTAGAACTCCCCATGCATGGCCTAGATGTTTACAGGTAAGGTGGCCAATTTTTTAAGGCTCAGCTAGCTGCTAGCCCCTCTCCCCTAGCTCAGTGGGTCAGCAGGGAGGTGGTACCAGCCCCCTCCCCTCTCCTCTAGCTGAGTGAGTCAGTACACATCTCACCTGGTTTTATGACCCACCAGAGTGGGAGAATATCCTGTGTCAGATTGCCCCTCAAGTGGAGCTCCCATTTTGCCTGGAGCCCACGGATCCCTTCCTCAAGGACCCATGGGATCCAAGGAGGCTGGAGCTCAGAGCAGCAGAACGGAGTCTTCATAGTTTTACTCCCTTACCTCATCCCCCTTACCCTCTCCTCGCAAGAACTCAGCTCTAATGGCTGCCAGAGAGAAACTCCCAGGTCCTGGTAAGACAGGAGCACAACTTGAACTCTCTGGGTCTTTCATGAGTATCTTAAGAGTCTTCCCTATTTTCTTTTGAAAAAAAAACAACACAAAACTCTTTTCCCACCTGAGGAACAAGCACTCAGATTACACTATGACTTAGAGCAGCTGTTCTCAACCTTCCTAATGCAGCGACCCTTTAATACAGTTCCTCATGTGTGGTGATCTCCCAACCATAAAATTATTTTTGTTGCTACTTCATAACTGTAATTTTGCTAGTTATGAATCATAATATAAATATCTGATACACAGAATGTATTTTCATTGTTACAAATTGAACATAATTAAAGTACAGTGATGAATCACAAAAATAATATATAATTACATATTGTGAAATATTTATTTCTAATTACAACTGAATGAAATTTTGTCTTGAAGCATGGTATAGCATGGGTAATAGTGTTCATGCCAGGTACTCGTATGTGGGCGTACCTGCATGTGGACGGACCCACCTGGAGATGTATAGAGGAGCGGTGTGGTGTCTCGGTTCCTAAGACCATCAGAAATAATGTTTTCTGATGGTCTTAGGTGACCCCTGTGAAAAGGTAGTTTGACCTTGCTGACTTAGAGGCTCCCCCTCCCTAAGCTAGGTGTCTGGTTGACACTGGGACTTACAGTACTTAGCAGGACTTTCTACTGATTAGAAATACCCTCCCACCTTGGGCCTCCACTCCAATAGCTTATTTCTACCCTGTGACCACAGCATGAGAAACTGTGTGCAGCTGAAATAAGGGCCTTCTGCTTTAAACACAATAATAGACTAGGAACACTCTCCATATATTATATACAGGGTTGATAAGTGACCCTGGTAATGTCTTAATATACCCCTCACCTACCTCAACCACAATTACCTCAAGAGTTGGCTCCCCCCACCTCAGTGAGCCACACTCTCTCATAATCTACCAAGTAATAACACACCTCTTATAATCCCATCTTCCAATTGATTAAAATTTACTATATTTGACATGAAGTCTTCCTATGCTTAATACCATCACTATAAGCCTACCCTTGAGCAACTATCTCCTATTCATCCTTCCCACCCAACTATCACTCCTTCTTCATATCCACACAACACGATTTACAGTTCCTATCTGCTCCTCTTCCTCTAAAGAGCCAACCACACCCCTTACACAATTCAGAATCCCACAAATCATCTTCAGCTGGGCCACTATGCTAGACCAACAACAGCTATCAATAACTATCACAAAAAATCAAGAGAAACCAAAAGTCAACAACTAAGGATCACTCAAAGCCAAAGGCATACACAGAAAAAGAAGCCCTTGAACTGCATTAAGGAGAATGATGTATAGGGCCATATAAGAGATCTGAGGATTAATGATGAAAAAAAAAGAATAAATTGAGAAACTAAAAACCTCATACCCAAAGGAAATTAAGAAATGAGCTAGCAGAAATAAAAAAACACGGTGTAAGAATTGAGCAATAGAATGGAAGAAAAGGAAAATAGGATCCATGAACTAAAAGACAAGCACACAGACTTCAGCAAAATAGAGAAACAATCAAACAAGAAAGTAAAAGAATCTGAAGAGAGCCTAAGAATGATTTGGGACCCCAGAAAGAGAAATAATAAAAGGCTCATTGGTATTCCACAGCAGGAGGAAACAAACAAGTCTACAGATAAAAAAGTAAGACAATTCATGGAAGAAAATTTCCCCAATATCAGAAAGGAAGTGATGATAACCATACAGGAAGCAGAGAAAACACCAAATAGATTAAACCCCCGAAAAAAAGAAATTAAGACATATAGCAGTCAAATAATCCAATGTAATGGAAAGGAGAGAATCCAGAGAGCTGTTCAAGAGAAACGTCACATACAAAAGTACACAGATAAGAATGAGCTCAGAAGCAAAGGGCATTTATAGAGTTCTAAATAAAGGCATGTACAAATGCAAATATATTTATATATGAGGATGGGGAAATAAATATATGTGCATATATTTATAGGTTAAGTATTAAGGTAGCAGAAGGACATTGGGCCTCCACTCAAGTACTCCCTCAATGTAAGAATACTTTCATCAGAACAAAAAATCTTATCATAGTGAATGAGGGGGGAAGTGCTGAGTGGAGGCCCAAAGTCCATTTGTAGACCACTGGACATCCCCTTACAGAAGGGTCTCGGAGAAGAGATGAGCTAGTCAGGGTGCGATGTAGCAACGATGAAACATACAATTTTCCTCTAGTTACTAAATGCTTCCTCCTCCCCCACTATCATAATCCCAATTCTACCTTACAAATCTGGCTAGACCAGAGGATGTATACTGGTACAGATAGGAACTGGAAACGCAGGGAATCCAGGGTGGATGTTCCCTTCAGGACCAGTGGGGTGAGTGGCCATACTGGGAGGGTAGAGAGAGGGCAGGTTGGAAAGGGGGAACCGAATACAAGGATCTACATGTGACCTCCTCCCTGGGGGATGGACAACAGAAAAGTGGGTGAAGAGAGACGTCGGACAGGGCAAGATATGACAAAATAATAATTTATAAATTATCAAGGGCTCATGAGGAAGGCTGACGAGGGGAAGGAAAGGAAAAAATGAGGAGCTGATGCCAGGGGCTTAGGTGGAGAGCAAATGTTTTGAGAATGATGAGGGCAATGAAAGTACAAATGTGCTTCACACAATTGATGTATGTATGGATTGTGATAAGAGTTGTATGAGCCCCTAATAAAATGATATAAAAAATGA